ACGCTTTGTTCCACGTGAGCACGACATCATCGTGGAGTTTGAGGACATCATCGGCATCCTGAAGCCGCCGAAGATCAATCAAGTGTCTTCTACGCGAGTCGAGTACTGTTTTGCGGGACGCGTCGACGTCCCGGAAATGTAAGAAACATCAATTAAATTGCTTTCTTAAAACAATGCCTGAATAGTTTCCTGAATTCCCCCACAAATTTCAACTGAAATCAGAATTGTTTTTAAATTATGCATAACAATTCCTCAGGAGCTTCCACTTTTCCGAGTAAAGAATGGCCTTGCCCGTCGGTACCAGGATAGCTGCAGTATAACTTTTGACGCTCTGCGTCGAGGCATTCTCTCTCGCGCCTACGTTTTTGATAAATGTATCAACTTCCCATATGGTTGAGCGTCGGAGGCGAAAATATTAAGTTTTATTTTGGCAGAGGGGCAAACCAACTCGCTAGCACGTCAGAGGTGGGATGAGCAGCGACGACAGACTTCAGGCCGGAGCGAAATTGGAGTTTCCGTCGCCTCTCAGGGTCCGTGAAAACGGGATACTTTATGACAGGAAGCCGGGGAAGGTGTGACAATGCCGTCAGGGAAGGTTCCTAAGGATTCCCTCTCTCTTACTACATGTTCATTCGATTTTTTCCTTCGTAATGGTCTGCATGAATCAGTCTCAGTCTGGGTCATTAACTCGTTCAGAGCATGTCAGCTCTGGGCCTGAAAGCACTTCATGCCCAAACCCTCGATATGTGCTAGCTTCAGGGCTACCTAGTCACGATGCAATAGAAATTCATGAAATTGCATTTGCATTGTAATTTGCAACAAGTTAAGCGAAACAGTAATGACTTTCATTCATATTTCCAGTAGCACACAGAATTTAAAGTGCAAACTTTCTGGCAGCAGCGAATGGGTTAAAACAAAAAATATTGGAGTTACTTTCTTTTTAAACGTAACGAATCCAGCACTATCGACTAAAATTATTTCATTTTATTTTTAGATATATTTCGGTTCGATTTCCTTCCAAGTTCTCTTTTTTTGCAAGTGAATACCGAGCACATCGATATTAAGCATGACTCTCTTTCTGCATGGTATCGAACACCTTCCTCGCATTGATGCACCCCAGAATTACGACCCTTAAGTTTTAACCGTGGTGACATTTAAATCACATTCAAGAACATTGAGCAGCACTCTATCGCAATCGAGAACTTCCCGTTTAATGGAATTTCTCACGGAGCCCACTGTAAGTCTTGCTTGAAATTCATAGCGAGAATGTGACCTGAAATGTCTTCGCCCGTGAGTGAGAAACTCTGGGGATCCACTCACAAACCAATGTTTATTCGCTCTTCCCCATTCATGTGTGCTAGTTTAACATGTGTGCTAGTTTAACATGTGTGCTAGTTTAACATGTGTGCTAGTTTAACATGTCTGCTATGGTATGGATCCCACGAGACCACCAGAGTGTCCTTTTATTGGGGCCACACAGGAATTACGCTGAAGGCTTCTCCTAGAAGGCTACTACAACCCGTTAGTCTCACCGCCTCTTGCTTTGCTTCTTTGCTTATGGCTACGAGACCTGCAGAGTGAGCCATAAATGTTAATACTACATGTAACTTTTATATCTCTGCGTGTCCAGAATATTTAAAAAGTTGCGATATCTATTTCCCAGCGTCACTCACGTGGCCGAACTTGGATGCTTCAACAGGATTTATTCTCCAAGTCACACGTATTCAATCTCGAAAACTTATTTTGAAAACCATGATGCAGAAATTATAAGCAAAAATGAATGGTCCCCTTACAACTCTTGACTGGAATCCAATAAATCAGTGGGTGTGTAGTCTTCTGGAAGTAGGTGTCCAAATATGAAATCAAGTGACCTTTGATCAAGCCTGGTGCTGAAAGAGGAGTGAGACCACGTCAATCCTGTTTGAATAGCAGACTGGCAATTACAGGTTGCTGCTAGGATGATGAACGCTGATGAACACCAGCTCCAAGGATGATGAAAAACACTGCAGACACATCATTTTCCGTAATTTTTGCCTTTGTTGGTTGGTCATCTAGGGCATTAGAAACGATTACTCTTCGAAATTGAGGCTTTCACTTTACCATTGATTAAATTCACACTGTCAGCATCCATTTATCGTGAGAATACATTGTATTCTGAATGAAAATCATTCGAATTCCCTTTTCGCTCATCATAATTTGCCATTGGGGAAGAGCTTCCCTTTGCTAAGTTGAAGGGTCTAAAAGCAATTGCTCATCACCACGTTTATTCATAAAGCGGTGAGAGTCTGTATAGCCCCGAGGACCCGAAAGAATCACTAGCTACTAACGAGAAGGAAGGACGGAGAAGAAGTCGCCTGACTTTGGAGAGTCTATTTTCATGCAGGCTTTAAAGTCTTCAAGATTCTTGGATTCATCTTGGAAAGGAATTCCATCAGCGCATACACAACAGAGGTCCCTCCGGAACTCAGAAATGAGAACCCACTCCGCAATACTACGTCCACAATCGGTCGTGTTATACGGAAAAAAAAATAACGCTGAGGAGTATCAGAAGGCAGAGGAAGCGAGAGAAGGAGATGTGGGAGTGACATCGAGTATTCTGAGCATCCCGCAAACTTACCAGAGGCACCCACTCTCCTGTATCAGGACGTTCGTGATGGGGCGGAAGGCCTCTTCCGTCGCTTCGCTGATATCGTAGCTAGTGAGAGCCTTTGTCATGTTGGCCCCAATTCATAGAATGAAGACAGGAGAAGCTCTCGCTTTGACTATGAGAAAATCTCTCATATTATGGAAGCCATGAAAGTGATGAATCTCACAGCCACCTGATGTGGTTTTGGGTGTGGGTTTATACATGAGATTGCATGCGATTCCAGTCTTGAGATTTGATTATTTCAGAGGAATATGCTATTTAAGGGTTCACTAAATGCAAAAGACAAAAATTGGGAAACCTAAAAGATTCTTACGTGTGGTTCTAAGTTGAAAACTGGGTTCAGATGTTTTGCTCAAAAGTACAAGAGGAAATATTCACCTAAGTGTTCCGTCTGTGAGACCAATTTGACTATATCGTTTGGAGGGGATATTGGCTATTTCATTAATTCGACGGGAATTATGGCTAACAGAAAACCACCTAGTTTCTCTCGGCGGTTTCAATTCCACTTCCCCTCTTCTTTTTCTTGTCCCATTCGTTCCTTCTGTCTTTTTCTCCCCCGGAACATGTCCTCTCATTTTAAATTGAACATCTTCCGTGGAGACCTTTCCGTGTTTCGGACGCTATTCCTTTTGGGAGTTCCAGGTCAGACTAAGTAATAAAGCAGTTGCGCCGTCTTATCTAGCGATTCCTCGTCGACTTCTGGTACTTATCCTATCGCGGCGTACAGAGGGGATGCGGACATTTTCCTTAGCTGCCGAGGGAGAGGATGGGAGGATGCCTCCTACTTGTGCCTGCCAAATAATGATGCCTCATCCCAAGTTCCTCACCGCCTTCCAAACCTCATCTATGACCTCTGAACCTGTTCCTAGTTCAATTATTATTGTTAGTTGTTCCTCAATGATCTTCCGGAAATCTTTGAAGACCATAGAGGTGGCATGGAGATGGGTGAATCCTTGACATCGAAGCACCTCGTATAATCCATTTTGTCCGGGTTCCATGGGAATATTCCACATGGAGTTTTGTATGCCGGTTATATCAAGGGCACGATCTACCTCATCACGCTAAGTATAAGTATGACCAACATCCGGGACCGTGAAAAACCTCATTCGCAACCGGTTTTTGGCCTGGTGGTCAGTAACTGCATGAAGCTCCATCGACATCTCCAGATTATCGCCAATACTTAAACAGTTTCGCCATAATTAAATAATAATGAAGTATCAGAACTTGTCGTTCATTCGAAATGGAAATGAGAATTTTAGAGAACTCACCTTTTGTAAGAACATTTGTCAGCAAATGAAGCTGATGAAGCGGAGCGATTGCTTAGCACAACCATTAAGGTAGCATGTGTCGAAATTCTTCCAAAAAATACTTTGACATGACTCCCTAAGTGAATGGACACCCCGTGTGCACATTAGAAAACACGAGTAATAGGTCCTCGTATGCAAAGAGGTTGATAAAATGCGTGGAAAAAGCTAATTAACAAAATCTGCATGAACTGGAGACCAGCGAATAACCAGGGTGTTCATCCAATTTCTGTGAGGTTCCGATGACCGCGTCTCAAGACCCCTGAGCCCCAGCTATGAATGTTAATGAGGTACGGCCAACTAATGCCATTCGTGTTAGAAAATGTACTTCCTGGTCCAAGTTGCCTTAGGTGTGGGATGATCAACTGTGGCCGTGATTAGGGATCTCAGATCTTCATTAGGCATTCCGCACCATCTTCCTCGAAGTCCATCATGGAACCAGATAGAACGGCTCTCACTGAATAAAACTGGGACGAAAATGTCCCAGTTTTATACAGTGAGAGCCGTTGCGAAGAAGGAAGACTGCGGCGATACCCTCATGTCTCACTGATTACCTTTTGAGAAAATGTATCTGCCGGAGCGCCTCGTGGAGCAATTATTATCGCGAAAGAAATAGTTCACGATTACTTAAAAGTACCAAGTGTTCACCGGCAAGGTAAAAGTCCGGACGATCAACGGAGTCCCCAAATCCTGTGGCAAACTGATTCGCATTCTGTAAACGAGTTATCCGATAATCGCATATCAAGATCCTTCAGACCCACCTGGGAGGACGGATGAGCTACCGCCTGCTAATTTTGTCGTTAGGGTAAGAACTTAGGGTACTTAAGGTACTTCGAATTCCTACTTGCCTAAATTGAACGAGATATTGAAAGACGTTGGGGCTAGAAAATGAAAGGCCTTCATTCTTCATTCAGAGTTCCACACCATCCTCCTCGCAATCCATTTCGTGAACCTGATGGAAGAAAATTGAGTAGATTCTTATTACGGCGAAAACCGTTGTGGGGAATAGAAGCAGCACTAAGGAAGATTGTGGCGACCCCACCCAGGTCTCACCGATTAACTTTGGTGAAAATGCCGTACTGGCCGGGGCGCCTCATGGAGCAATCCTCCTTCCCAAAGAAGTGGCTGACGATCCCTTCCACCTGCCAGGAGCTCTCCGGCGAAGTAGAAGCTTGGACGACTAGAGGACTCCCCGAATCCCCGTGACAAACCGTTTTGTAACCTGTAACAGAATTCCCTTCACCGTTATCGAATGGACATCATAAAAACATGATAGGACGTTGCTTTTAAGATGCTCCATTCCCAAAAAAAAAATGGAGGGCGGAGAGGATCCCTTTCCATCTTTCCTCGATCGCTCCATCGAAACTCCCGCAAGAGCCGTCATGTATTATATACTGAATCGAAGAGCAACAGAGACTTTCCGACCGTAGGGAATTCGTCGTGATCGGTGCGCGGAATTTCGGGCAATAAACGAGGAAATGAAGGGCAATATCAACACAAAACGCTCGGGGAGAGCGGTCAGGTATTTCTTTGCATGCAATTTTCGGGGCAATAATTCATGCAGAAAAATCGGCAGTTTTTTACATATAAACCAATATTTTAAAATGAAATTCACTCCTCTCTGGTTGTGATAATATGCAGTCTGCAAGGCCGAATTTGATCTTCCCGTTACTCATGATTTCTGAAGCATACAACCACATACCAATTCACCCATGGAAAAACAATGGAAAACCCCTCTTTCACATAGATGTGGCGAAATCCTAACTGTTACTCTTCTGAAGCCTCATGTTCCCCGGCCCCCAAAGTATTTCGACTATATCAAAAACGTGTTCCAATACTTTTGAGAGGGGTATCCTTATCGTCTCCAGCACAAAACATGTTTGAAGTGAGGGTACTGGTGATTGTGTGGTCTCCTGTGAGACTAATTGTGTCGAAGCGACAATCGGCATTGGATATGATCGGGAGTTCCACCTCCATCAACACATCTGGGGAAAGGTCCGAGGCGTTGAAACCCCAACCGGCGACCTGCCGTAAGACGGTAGAGAAAGTGTAGGCAAGGAATCCTTTTCCTTCCATTTGTGCAAGAATGCATTCTCACCCAGCCTCGCAATCCTTTCTTGAAGTGGACATCCGACAGACTATGTCGGTTTGGGAGACATACCAGCTGCACTCGCTGCGTCAACGCGGCAGGTTCCACCAGTTTCAGCAGAGCGATGTCGGAGTCGTAATTCTGATAGTTGAAGTCATCGTATATGATGATCTGGGACACCTGCAAGTAGTCACGTCGGTTCTCGTCGCACGAAAGAGAAACTGTAGAAAGAAAAAGTTCGAAACTCATCCGTTGCCTTTTTTCGCTGTACGAATTCATCATCCAGCGATTCATTTCGATAGAACTTCCCAAGATAGACCAAGAAGTCCTTGGGGTTCCGGGCTCTCTGGGTACCATGGACGACGACGCAATGTGCCGCAGTCAGCACCCATTGCTCCCGAATCAGAGCTCCTCCGCAGACTTGATCTTTCTCCCTCACGTCATAGATTGCTGCCTGCCAGGGCCACTCTCCAACTACTGACGGCTTCCCCCCTGCCGACAGCTTCGACAGCAGCACCTTCCTCCCACATTCTGCAACATGTATACCGTCTTCCTGAATCATCATCTTTCAGGCAGAGTAACGGAAAAAATAAGCGTAAACTCACGAGGCTCGCAGAAAGGAGTGTTTTCCGTCCATTGTCCATTTCGTGCGCAGGTGCGAATGCGTGGACCTCTCAAAATATAATGCGAGTTGCACATATATTCAACAACGCTTCCAACTGAGTATTTTCCATCTTGGATGCATTCCGTTTTATTTTTGCTTTTGACGTCTTCGAGTAGACCATCATATCCCTCCCTGCAAGCAGCATCCCATGAACAGACCAACCGTTGCAAGCCAAATTCGTCAGAGGCAGTTTGAGTACCTCACTCCTCATCATTGCAAGATAGAATCGTGAAGGCTCCGTGTTGATTGCCTTGAAGCTGCCCGCACCGGGTCTCATCTCCGTCTGTAAGCAATAGATTTTAAGGTTATTCTGGATTTTCTGAATTAATCGTCCTACGTTCTGCACGCTGGTCGGAAAATGCAATTAAATATTTGGTTTCTTCTTCGAAATCGTTCGTGACTCATGCCTGATCGGTTCGTCGAGGGTCTCGTTGACCTTTAGCTGTTCAGTCAAAGAATGCTTTCATTGAGCCATTTGCCATCATTCATGTAATCTCGTTCCTTCAAGCCAAACTTAGCAATAAATCATCCGAAAAACTTGCGAGTAGTGCGAATTCATCAAGTGCGATGCAAATCTGAAATCAGTAGCTTTGTATTAATACAGCTGTAGAATCATCACTTAATTGGGATACGATTTTTACGAGACCCATTCCAACAACTACGCAATTCATCCGTCGCGCTCTCGACACCTCGGGACTCATCAATGTCGCACTTCGTTTACAACAAGCGCTAAAAACCCACTCGCTTGCTCCATTGCAGGGGCTGGAGCCTCCTGAATGCCACCTCGAGGCGCAGCAATCCTCCCATAGGGTTTTCACATGGTCAGCGCCCCCTTACGAACTTCATCGAAAGGAAGTGATAACGATCGCTTCGGTTGGTACACCAATTTCCATTGGCGCTTTACCTGCTCTCACGTCCCGAATCGGTCTCTTGACTCTTGAACGAAACGGAATTTTAGGAAAAGATTTTAAACTGTTGAAATTGAAGTGCGTTTGACCCACCATGTTGGCTGTCAAGAAGCACGATTGCTTCTTCAGAGCCAATATCTGGGTGATACGTCGGGCGATAAAGACGAGTGCATTACAATCATTTTTGCTTAATGTAAAATTATTCACGCTATAAAAGGTCAGTACGATTTGTACTTTTCACTCATTTCGTTGTTTCACCTGCACAACGTCCACAAACCGGATATTCCACATGAAACAATATACTTATGGAGCAAGTTACAGCTGCTCCTTAACATAAGAAAAGGAAAAAAGTATAACACCAATGCAGGAAAAGGGGAACTGGTCAAATTTCCTTCATCTTGGAGTGCAAATTCTCTCGCAAGGAAATAAGAATAGGGTGGAGAAGGCCTTGGGTCAAGCCGAAGCAACTAAATCACACTTGTCATCCACGAAGAGCAACATTAAGAAATTCCATTGAGAGGCATACCTTTCTCCAAGGACAATTCCAACTCCCTCCTCTCGACTGCTTTCTTAGAAACGCAGCAACGATGGTTTCCGGGGCATTTGAAAAGGTCCGAAAAAGTCATTTGACCATCGTCTTTGCATGCGAACAGTTGTCCAGCAGCCATGCAACGCCCGACGAAAGGCTCGCAATCGGGGGATGAATTCCGGTTCGGTAGAACCCGGCAACAATAACTCCCTATTTCCCTACATTCCGTTCCGTCCAAGGCAGTCCCCGGCACGCACGAATCGAGATCGGTCCAGAACACGCATTTCTGGTCGCAAGGCGGCAAGATCGTCTTCACGATGCAGCACACTCCGATTCCGTTGCACGAAACACTTGGGATCTCTGTTCCTGACTTGCACAAGCCTTCAACTGAACCGAATCGAATGCAAGTATGAGTGGACGGACATGGTTCGTCGATGACAGGGAACGACCCACGTCTCCCGCCTGAATCAACCAAGCAGCAGATTTGAGTTTTTTGTGGACAGCCCAATGCCAGGAGAGGTTCCGATGCGCACAAGGTCGCGTATTTTGCATCAATGCACGAGAAACCGACGGCAGCAGAACAGGAGGAAGCCGGTGAACTCGTGCTTGTAGTGGTCGAAGTCGTCATTGAAGCCTTCGGTTGGCAACACAATTCCTCCCTCTGACAGTTTTGAAATTTGGAGCGAATGGCCGTTCCCTCTGCGCAGAGAGATACATTTTGGATACTGACGCACTCGTAGGGACATTTGGGGCAAGCTTTCAAGGAATTCAGATTCAATTGGCGAAATTCCATCCCGTTCTCGCATCGCCCGAACAGATGTTTCCGTAAATGGGGAGCGAGTGCCAGCCACTCCAAATCGCACCCACACTGGATGGGATTATCTGAAAACCAGGAAAGGCGAAGAATATTGAAATACTAGCAGAGGTACCCGGCGTTGCACGGGTGAATATTGTATACGTCCCGTATTTGAGGGTTTAATATTGTTTTAAATACCTCTTCGGCAAACCCGGCTAGAAATTTTTTAAAATATTAATCTTTTGCTACACAACCAATTGCAAAATTCCAGTAGCAAGCTGCATGTTACAACGTAAATTTTTCAATGAGCCCCCCAAAAGTTTGACCCCTTGGGGGGAGTCTGTAGTAGTGAATAGGCCAAATCTGCACTAAATAAGGTACCGCTGGGGTCCGAATTTTGAAACGCCACCTAGCCTATGACCATCCCCGGACCAAATGAGAAAGCCATGCAAAGTTCAGTCGGACTGGGATCAGTGGCGTGGCCGTACTTAAAGGACAGACACCCAAACACTCTGAAATATGTTTTTCTTAATGGTATGAAAATGAAGATCGTGTGGCGTGTTTTAACCTCCAGTTACTTGGAAGTTGAGGATATTTTCGACCCCTATTCAAATAACTTCATGGAGGTGAGACGAACCTAAGGGTCCCTGGAGAGTTTCCCCTGTATGGCGGTAAAAGGGATCTCGCATCAGGCGGGATGGGTATCGTTTACCTGAAAAGGGATAAGGTACAACCGTTCCGCTCCACGTGACGTCAGGCACTGCCCCCTCCCTTATTTGTCGTCTGCTACCTCCTCCTTGTATGGGGAATACGGTTATGGTATACAAATGAAAGGATCCATGGATATTTGATATCTGGTATTTTAAATTTCATGCAGGAAGTTTTTCCTTTCCGCTCGCGTCATGTCTTGAGTAGGGAGTATCAATTAAGAAGATGTGGAAATCATTATTGAGTTATGGAAGTGCGCAATATTCTGCAATCCAGTGGTCTGCATTCCGAAACCCCTTCTGTGTCTTGTCTCCTTTGTTCCTACGGTTAACAGATAGAAATGCATCCAAGCTCTGCAAATATACAGTATACACTCGGGAAGAAAAAGAGCAAACTCCGTTAATGACGTTAATGCGGATCACTTGGAATAAAATTATTCGTGAGCATTCCATAAATGTGAAGTGGTGTATAATTTGAGGGCAAGTTCCCTCTTAAGAGAAAAAAAGAGATCTCTTTAAGAAACAGAAGACAATCGAGGTCGCGAGAAATAATTTACTTTTATTACTGTAGCATCATTGAGAAATAAGGAATATACAAATTAATGTGAAAGAACGTATTGGGAAAAAATGGCTGGAGTTTCAGAGAGATTCCTGAGTGGGAATGGAAAAGTAGAACTATAGATATCCACCAGAAAGTGTCAATTCTGCTAACCCGTTCGGTTCCGTTCACTGTTCAGCAGGTTTCACCTGGAAAGCATGGAAAGAATAAACTTAGGGATTTTCATCTTTTTTTGCAAAAATTCCTTGAGCTAATGTGCCCAAGCAGCAGGTTTAAGTAAACGTGATACCAGTTTTTTGCAAACAATGTAAATTTCTTGCAATTGCCATGAAAAGGGCATCATGTTTGCGTAAAATGTACGTTCCTATATTTACGTCATCAAAGTGTCCGTGTATTTTACGTAAACTAGACGTCCCTCCATCTGACGTGAAGTACATGATATCAAGTTTATGCAAAGTTAACATCACACTTTCGATATAAAACTTCAGCTGACCATCCCGTTGTTGCAGTACCAAGATTCCTCACTAGATGGAACCCTTGTTCCCTGCACCCTATAAATGCTGTTAAGTAACTGGCTTTCCCGATATAGTATCAGGTTTTCTTACCATCTTTTCGCTTTTTATTATGCAATCCATGAATATATATGTGTAAAGCAGGAAATTATTACGTATTTATATTTATATATGACTCAGGGAATCATTAAATTCTGAAGGCAAGCTTGTTATTACAGCAGTGCACGGGATTGGGGAAGAGTAGAATCCCAGCTCCCCAAGTACTATACCATCTCTATCCTAAATGGAAGAGAACTCCTCTAAAGATGTACTCCACCTCCTGAGGTCCTGGTATGGGAGGAGGAACTAGTGAGTCATCTTGGTACTCTTGAGTGCTGGTGATGATGAGTATTTGTGTACTCGTCTAAGTAACCTTGAGTACCAAAGTATGGGAAGGAATGGGAAAAGTACATTTCATCAAATCTCTTCAAAAGTACGAAATAGCTCGATAAATACGGATGAATACTATGAGGAAATCAAAATCAATTTTACGTAATATGGATGTAAAAATGCTGTTGGGGATGTAAACGGGAATGTCAATTTTACGTAAAATTTGTCAATTTTATATCACCGTTTACGTATTCCAGAGGTGACATTTCTGCAAACATGTTGACATTATGTTGATGATGGTTTGCGTGAAATAGATATAAAATGAACAAAAAATTACATTCAGTTCACGTAAAATTAACATAAACATGCTGCTTGGGTGTTCTTCTGTTGGCGGCACCACAATCCAAAGGTGTAAAAGAGGACATGATCAATATTGATGAGAGGATGAGGAGAAATAGCATTGTAAGTCAATTCAAGAAAAATTACATATATAACATGAGGAGTGGAAAAAAGGCTTAATTTCCCCAATTTCCACTCAAATTTATTTCTTTGAAAAAAGCAAGAAATTTGAGGGATAAAAAGTCCGCCGTGTGCAAAAAAAGTGTTTAACGGGAGAAATGTTCATCAATTCATCAGGAATAATTGGCGTATTGTGCGCTTAGTTGCTTGGAATTCGTTTAAAATGAGAAGGGAAATTGAAGTGTATGGATTTAAAGAATGTAATATACAGGTGGAAGATGTGTAAATATTTAGACAGTTTTAGACAAGCGACAAGGAGTTTCATGCAGAGAAAAATATTTGCGAGGCTAACAGGCGGCGGAGTGAAAAGGAGAGAAGATTGGCATGGTCAAAAATCGAGCATCCTTATTTACATGGACTTCCACTTTGTCTTCTCGAATGTCTCGCGAATGGCTATCCTGCATTTCATATATACTCAGAATGTTTCTCCCTTTTGCCCAGCGTTCATGGACATCCAGTCAAGAATTATGGTTAGCTTAAGGTTGGGCCATAGATGGGGAAGTTGGCGGAAGGTCGGGCAATAGTCGGGTTGGCCTCACTTCGACGCCCCATCCGCAGACCACCCATAGGGTATCTTGTATCTTCCTATAAAGGGTACCCAGCAGCTGCGACCTACTGATGTGACCATGCACGAGCCGTTGATGTAATGCACAATGTTTTTCAATTGACTTCGACACTTCATATTATCAATAATGACTACTGACTCAAGTGGAAAACACTATAGACAGGATATGTTATATCTACCTCATGCCGATGGGGAAAATGATAAGCATTCTTCTCATGACTGATTACAACTCTGCAAGAGTGATGTATCCTAGAGGGATGAAGAAACTCAAATCGTACTCGATAAGATTAACTCGTCACGGTAAGAGAACATAGGGAAGAGAAGAGCATGCGGTCCCGCTAGAGTTGATTTACCCCCGGAAGGATCCTTGACTTATGCCTGCCGTGTCAGCCGCTAGATGCCTTTAGAGAGCCCGGGTGTTTTCAGACACTAGTAGTGCAATGAATTAAAATCTAAGCTTATATCACAGTGTAAATATTACACAGAGGCCATATATACCCCAAATTTATCAGATAGGAAAGTGATTTACCTATTCTAGTCCGGTGTCTGGAAGGGCCCCTGGTCATGACAAACTCTTCCATCAAGCTCATTGGCGAGCCGATCCCCGCGATTACATTCGGGTAAGCGCGCTCCTAAGAGCACCTTTCCTTTAACAAAGCTCCTGGTCCAGATATTTTTTCATAGCATTAAAAACCTTCCTCATAAAGGTCTCACGTCTCGCTCAACTGGAAGTCCGCAACAATCACTATGATTCCTAAGCCTGACAAAGACCTATCAGATCCTTCCTCCTATTGTCCTATCAGTCTTCTCAGCTGTCTTCAGAAGATCTTGGAGAAAATAATTACCGCCAGACTCTACGATTATCTAGAATTTAACCATTTTCTCTCTCCCTCACGATCAGGCTTCCGACCTAACTTATGCACCACTGATCAGCTCGTTCGACTCCATCACGACGCGCTAGTAGCCGTATATAGTAAAAAGCACCTTTTAGCTGTTTTATTTATGTTACCAAGGCCTTTGATAAGGTGTGGCTTGCAGGGCTAATTTATAAATTATTTCATAATTTTAAACGTCCCCTGCAGTTGTTGAGATGGATTGCCTCCTATCTGCCCAAGTGATCATTCAAGGTGAGAGTCGGGACTTCCCTTTCCGCGAATCTCTTCCCATCCGCGGGAGTTCCGCAGGGCTCCGTAATTGCACCCCTTTTTATTTTGTATGTCAATGACCTCGCGTCATCCATTCCCAGTAAACTTAACATCCGTACGAGCCAATATGCGGACGACACTGCCCTCTGGCTCTCGGGCAGAGACGAGGCTGCTCTTCATTCGTGGGCTCAGGCAGCAGTGAACGCTCTCTCTAATTACTGCAAGAAGTGGCGCATCAGCATGAACCCCTCCAAATCGTCCCTCCTTTTATTTGCGCGCGACAGGAAGCCCCATGATGTTAACGTCCGCATGGACGGCGCAATCATTCCGCGGTCACGCCACACTCGCTTTTTGGGCGTCACTGTCGACGGCAATCTTATGTGGAACGAGCATGTTAAGATCATTCGCAGCAAGGCCATTAATAAATTAAATTGCCTTAAAATCCTTTCAGGAGTTAATAAATGCGAGCCATACGTAATTTTAAAGCTTTACGTAACTTACCTCAGACCAGTTCTTGCCTACGCATTTGCAGCTTGGGCCAACTGCCCCGAGGCAGCCTTGAATCCCTTGGAGCGAATCGAACGGGCTGCAATCAAGTACGCCTTTCGTCTCCCTACGTACTATCCCAACTCATACATATATCGAATAAGCGGACTCCACCCCTCCCTCAATATGCTTCTCAACTTGCCTTTGATTATTATAACGACCCTAAGCGGCCAGGAGACATACAAGATATCCCTATTAGACTAAATAAAAAATACCCAATCGGGCGCTTTAAGCATACCAAAACCTATCCATATAATATGATTATGCAACGCCTTGGAAGGACCAGCGACGAGACCTGACTTCGCCTCCCGTGCTCTGCAGTGTTTTTTTCCTGCAACACGGGGATCGAAGTGTCCCAAACTTGACTATATCTATCCCGTGACCTTCGTTCCTATCGGAAGTTGACCCTAGCGCTGCAGTACTTTTCTTTTGCAAGACGGAAATAAACCGGACTTTGACTCTTTAATGGCATTACGTCATACTTCTCTCTTCTATAGTCTCTTCCTCCCTTTTTCTTATATTGTAATGGAAATTTAAAATATAAAAAAACTAAAACATGAAAAAAGAAAAAAAAATGTTTCCTGCTCTCATTTCCATATCCTAAACGGCCACTTATGATCTAATTTCACCCCTCTCTACTCCATCAGTTCAAGAAATAGTTTTTATTCTAACCCCCTGCCCACAGGGCGTCTGATGAGGCCCTTTCGGCCAGCTGGCACCTGCAAAACAGCTCTCTGCTCTCTTGGGGTTCCTGCCCTAACTTACTTCTGATAGGATGTAAAGACTTAATTGCGATATACAAAACACCTGTAAATAACATAAATGCGGAAATGAAAAAGAATGGCTAGGAATTAATCTTTCAATCCCTTCTGGTCTATTGTAGACCTAAATTTAATGAAGCCCCATTGCACTAACACCTCAACTGACAGGTTGCATCATCATTTCCAGCCGCTGACTCGTATGTCTTACGTGTAAAAGTAAACTGAGTAACGGGAGAGATCCAGGTGTGGAGGTGGGTCCGAAAGGGAAAACTCCCGGGTTCGCCAAAACACGGTAGTCATGGGTGTCCTTCCCATGACTAAGACTAGCTTCACAGGGGTCTTGCACTCTGCCAGCCCCTGTGTCGGGAGAATCGCACAATGGTTGGCGGGAGCCATGTGACGGTCCACCACATGCGGGGACCACCATACATATAGCTACAAAAATTAATAAATCAATCAATCTAAAAAAAAGAAATTCTAAGAGCGCAACAGTCGACCTTCCTCTCTCCTCGAGCATAGACAAGGTGATTTTATCGTTCAGATGCGGATTGACCTCACCCCTAATAATTATTTAGTCCATTGTTCTATTGGGAACAATGGACCTTCCTCTCTCCTTGATCAGCGAGGATAAGGGTAGATCATATTTAAATTATCCAATAGTGAAACGTATTGCGCAAAATAGGAAGCCAGAGTGGAGAAGGTGGGTGGGGGGGCTAATTAGAATGTGGCCATTAATACTGTGGCATTGAGGTGGGTTGACGGTGGATGCATTCGTAAGAGGTTGGCTTATTAGAGGTTGGCACAATTGCAGTCCATATCCAGCTAAGGGATGGTCATAGAAGGGTGGCCCGAAGGTCGGCCGACCCAGACATGAACAACCATAGCCAACCAAAACCCCCCCCCCCCCCAATAAGCCAACGCTAACCTGCTGATGCTCCGTAGAAGGTGTATGGAAGAGCCATTCTTGAGTTCTCCCAACTATATATGTTTGACTGGGCAGGCGTTTTCTCAAGCCATTTTCCTTTTTTTCATCATAGGACTAAATTTACCATACATTTTGCCAGTATTTTGGAAAATAATAAATATCTACGATTACAATCATTCACCAGGTCCTTATTTTACATTCATTGATTTTCACGTGGGATGGATATAATTTTCCTACTGGTTACGAGAATAACGCTACAGCGCCGAGAATTCTTCCGAAAAAGTTGAAAATCCAAAAGTTCATTATTACCATGCTTTCCAGGTGAATCCAGCTGAACAATGAACGGAACGGAACAGTTGAGCAGAAGAGACACTTTCTCGTGGATTTCTTTAGTTCTCAATTTTCATTCCCACTCAAGAATCTCTGAAACTCCCGTCGTTTTCTTCAATTTTTTTCTTTCACGTTCATTTTTAAATTCCTTATTTCTCAATGACGTTACAGAAATAAAAAAAAAAAATTTTCTCGCGACCTAGCATGCCCTCTGCTTTTTAAAAAGTTTTCTGGTCTATCTTAAGCGGAAACTTGCACTAAAATTATACTTCCCATCCATCCACTCGTGAAAATTCCATGGATGGGAATTATATTATATGTGATACGCATTAACCATATTAACAGAGTTCGTTCTTTTTCTTCCCGAGTGTATACATTTGCTGAGCTTGGATGCCATTTCATCTCTTAACTGGAGCAAAATAGGCATGGCACAGAAGGGGAATCGAAATGCAGACCACTGGATTGCAGAATACTTTGCTCTTCCATTACGTAACAATGACTTCCTCATATTTCTTAATTGATAACCCCACTTCAATACATGACGCGAGCGGAAAAGAAAAACTTCTTGCGTGGAACTTAAAAATACCCGAAATGAAATATATATATGGATCCTCTCATTTGGATTCCATTGCCATATTCCCCCTACGTGGAGGAGGGAGCTGACGACATATACGAGTAAGAGCGGGGGAACCCCTGACGTTACATGGCAGGGAAATCTCTTACTCCTTTTCAGTTAAACAATACTAGCTCCCCCTATGGCGACATCCCTTATGCCGTCAGACCTGAAAGCGTTCCCTCTCACCATGAACGTTTATTGACCCATCTCCATGCGACAGGGCCTCCAGCATGGGTCGAAACACCGCTTCGTCCAATTTCGAGATTTTGTTCCTGTTCAGGCAGACCGATGCGTTTGGAGTGAGACCTGGAATAAACAGGATAATGCTCTTTCGTGCCGTGTTTTCGATCGTCAACTTCTTTCCTCCTCACGCTGCAAGGTAGATAGAGCGTCCCAAGTTTGCAATTGCGCGGGAAAAATAATATGCAGTTCAATTTTCTCGTGTAAAAATGGATAGTTGAACGCAGATATCAGGCGCAAATAGGAATCGTATTAGCTCGTATGAAGGTAAATGACTCGAGAGGATAATTCACTCCATTTCCTTTTCAAAATATATATATTTCAAAATAGTTCATCCCCAAAACTATTAGCCCACTTTCATTACGAAAGGTCTAGCAAATCATTTTATAATAATTCACCAAACGAAATGTATAGTTAAAAAGGAATATATGAGCTCATTGGATAACTATCATTCACAGTTATGGCTGCGGGGATCATACAATTTCCAGCCATACCATTGTGAGCATGTAGACAAATGAATTTACATTTCCAAAACAGAGGCTGGATTTCTCTCTCCTTTTGCGGGAAATTGCATGATTCATTTTTCCCCTTCATACGACGCGATAGGGGATGGATGGATTTCCTGGCATGCCAATTCATTGCGAGGGTTTTCCCATTACTGGGGAATTTTGAGTTAACAGCGTCATGAAGTGACCAGATGCGAGAGGACGTATAGTATCTTAACGTCAATACTTTCCAAACTGCCACTTTCCTCACTTCTCTGTAATTTCGAGGACTCTGGACGCTGGGCTCGTAATTTCGCATTACTTTGGTACCGCATTAGATCCTGAACTTTCATAATGTGTAACTTGAAGCAATGACAACACAATGGCAAGATTGGTCTTACTTTTCACTAAACGTTACATTTAAGAAGTAGTTTTTAGAATATACAGGGTGGAGCAAAATTAACTTGCCCCGAACACATGGGAACCAAATGTTAAAGGTATTGGCAACAGCACGTGCTCGTTCCGTTTTTAACCAATGCTGCAAAACAAACACTAGTTGGTCTTTTGTCAACCGATGAGTCATTATGAAGTCACTCTGTAAACAAAAATAAATTTAATTAATTTCATACAAGTGTTCCGGGAAGTTACTTTTGCACCACGCTGTATATATACAGGGTGGCTCAGAGAAACGGGAAATTTGAAAATTGTTTTTGTCAGTCCTGGGAGGTTGGTAGCGCTGAATGACATATGAAACACACCTTACGACATCTTGCCGTTTAGTTATCATGGATCAGTGGAGTGGTGCACAACGTGCGTTTGCGGTCAAAGCATTTTACAAGAACAATGACAGTGTGGGGGCTGCGCGTAGAGAATTTCGACGCCACTTCAATTTAGGACGTCATGATCATGTTCTGTCAGCACATGCAATTAACCCATGGGTACAGAATTTTGAGGAAACAGGTTCGGCTCTGAAAAAGAAACCTGCAGGCTGTGTGCTCGTACACCAGACAATATCGAGGCTGTTCGAGCTACTGTCATAAGAAGCCCACAACGTTCAGTTCAACGTCTTGCAATTTCTTTACAGTTGCATCGTTCGAGTGTTCAAAGAATACTGTCGCAGGACTTAAAGTTCCATCCTTACAAGTTACAGATCGTCCAGGAACTTAAACCCAATGATCACCTAATGCGGCGACAATTCTGCGAACGAATGATGGCAAATGTAAACGAGGACGAGGATTTCATTAACAACCTGTGGATGTCAGACGAAACCCACTTCCACCTGATTGGATTCGTCAATAAACAAAATTTTCGCGATTGGGCCTAGCGAAATCCTGCTCAGCTACAGGAATGAGATGCTACAGCACAGAGATGGGGGTCACCTACCTGATGTCATCTTCAAGAAAAAAAATTTTGGTATGCAATTCATCAATGGCATACTCTGCACTATTAAATGTCATGAATAAATGTATTAAAATATTTTTTCTCTTCCATAAATCTCCGTTTCAAAATTTCCCGTTCTTGTGAGCCACCCTGTACTGTATATTTGATGAATGAATGCCTCGAAAACATCCTAGAGAGCTGTCCATTAGACATTCATTTGCGTTTGATGAGATTAGAGCTTAGGCATTGCAGAACATTCTCGAGGGAGCGATGAAGTGGTGACGCTCATTCGGTCATCGGTCTATACATTAGGATGTTTCCTTATAAAATGTCCAGCTACATCCATCGAGGGTGGATCATTGGGAAAGGAGTCAGATTTGGAACCGGGTCGATGCAATCCTCTGGATGGTTGCCCTCCTCGAGGAACCTGATGGATCTGTAACCATTTGGTTACAGATCCACCTAGGGAATTAGTAATGTGGTAACAATTTACTTTAGCCGATCGAAGGAGAACTTATGGCAGAGGTGAAAGTTCGACCAAACCCGTGATGGCTCCTGGCTCCAGTCTGAAGATGTTGTTGTCGCAAAGCCACACCTCCTTGAAGACCTTGCTCCGGAATTCCAACGCTCCCTTGGACAACGTGGGGCCCACGTTGCTGAACCCGCAATCGAGACCCTCCAGTTTCTCCAAGCTCCTGATCACCTTGGAGGGCAGTTGCTTCGATAAGGGGTTGCCATCTGCATTAGACACCAGAAAGAGATGGGAAAAGGACTCCATCGACTGCTTAAGTTCGTGGGAGATCATGTTTTCTCTTTTTCTTACTGCCAGGCAGCGCACCCACGTTGAGCCAACGTAATTGTTACGTTGGATTCCAACATTTACGTTGAGGGCCCAAATAGGGAACCAAAGTTGCGCCCTTGTTGGCTTGTCCCTCAGCCCCATATTGAGCCAACGTAGGAGACCCTCATTGGGGCAACTCTAAACATTACGAGCGGCATTACTTTTCGGTGTTTAAAATCACTATTCTTCTTCTCTACATGGGACCTTTTCGCCGAGTCTAGAAAAAACAGCTTGCAATGGACCACCTCATACAGCATTGGGGAATTATAGCCAGTCATTCCTCGAAACCATTGAAAAGTTAGCTATTTATGGGCCATCTCACCTCATTTTGGCGCCATCTCTCGTCATTTCGGGGTACCTTTCATGTTTGAGTAACTGGGATAGATGGCTTGCCCATTGATGGGGAAAATGTAAGCGATCGGCAAAACGCCGTAGCGGGCCCACATGGGCAGCCCACTGCGATGCTGGCCCAGGCTCTCCCACTCACTGCCAACGTGGGCCCAACATGGTGCGTTGCCTGGGCTTCTCCCTCTTGATTACAAACATTAGGTTTTGTTAGAAATAATTGCTCTCTTTTCTCATATTCAAGCATGATGTTCGCTTACAAGTGTTGGGATACGTTTTCCAAGTCAAATTTGGATAATATTAAGTCAAATGAAAAAATAAATTAAAGGAAGTTAAGTAAGCTCGAATGCCATACGTACGAAATAAATTACACGAAAAACGATACTCGAACCTGGCATCACTTGCAGCCATCTGGCAAAGCCAACATTATATAGTCGCGCCAGATGCCACTTTCAAGTAGTATTTTCAAGGTGCTAAATAACCATTTCACATGGCTATCATGTCAGGATTTCAATTAACAATATCCGCTACTTTTGATGTGTCAGGTTATGAAGCCCGAAAGTTTCCAATGCCAAGTATGGATGCCAGTATCATACGTAGTCGTCGTAGGAATGGGGAACAGCCTGAAATGGGAAACCGAATTTTGAAAAAAAGGAAAGGGAAGCTTTTTTGAGTCATCTTTAGGGAAAGTAACACCATTTTCTTTTTCAAATTTTAATTAGGGTTAATTCGGACAGTATTTGGGCAAACTCAGACTGTTTCCACCATAAACCAGTATGGGAGGGCTTCCGCACATATAGAGTGATGATAAATTATGGCAACACTATGAGGAGGCATTTATTTGCCAAAGTTAATGCCATACATAAACATTTACCTAATATGAACGATGGTCTCTTATTACTTCACCTATTACTCAGCAATAAAAAACGGTTTTTAAGAAAATCTCGTCTTCTCCAATTACGTAATATAGTCGGAAGACCACTTTGAAAATCTGCACATGTTGTGCCATATCGTAACATAATGTTCGTAACATAATCAACGAAATAATATATATTATAGGGATATGAATTCGTATTGTTTATCATGATGATTTGGAGAAATGTGAATGTGAGTGTGGAAAGAATCCCATTCTTCTCCATTTGTGGGAGTCAGGTCATTTTTTAAATTTTAGTTCCTGCCACAAGAATGACGGTCATGAATACGTAAGCAAAGCAGTACAGTTCAGTAAACACCTAATCGGGATCCCTAAAGCTGCACAACATGGCATGCACTCACTGAGGAGAAGGAATTTCAAGTTGGGAGTCTCCCAACCGCTTTCCTCAATTCTTGAAATGTGATTGAAGGAGAGGGAGAGAACCTCCAGGCTGGCACTTTTGATGGCAGGGACCGAGGTCAAAGAATTGGTCTGGAGGTGAAGGAATCGCAGACGGGATAATTTTGGAAGAAATTGGAAGGGAAAGTCCTCCAGGAGACTGTACTGGATCGTCAGCTCTACGAGTCGATCTTTGGAAGGCAAGAGGGCGTTTGGATGGATCTTCCTCAGGGCGGTGTTGTTTACAATTATGTGCTCGAAGGAGACATCCCTGAATACTCCGTCAGGTATCTCCTTCACCAACGCGTTACCTCTCAGAAAGAATTTCCTGCAAGAAGAAAGAAAGGTATTTCCATGCGAACTATATACTAGTAAAATGGCACCTGATCATCTCGGATTTTGCGATGAAGTCAGTCTCGGTCGAGCGTTCATTGCGTCAGGACGTGCTTGTACACTACTCATGAGGTTTTAACAGGAAAGTCGTGAGTTAGTCGTAGTTTGCCTACCTATTTTTAGCTTTCTGATACCTACCCTTGAAGTAAATTCATCTTAGATCAGCGATTAACAGTTCCATTTCTTTCGTACTTGACGTGGTGTGATGTTTCCTTAATTATTGGTGTGCTCAAAAAGTCGTCAGTTCCTTTTATTTTTCCCTGGAACTGTGAGGTTCCCAAGTTTAGCTAGTATCAAGTACAAGATAGAATAAGACTAATTCAGCATCTATTGAGAGCGCTCAATAACGTAAGTAATATGCCAAGGATGATTAGATGCGTTCGCAGCTGGGATTGAGTTGGCGAGACAAGTGATAGAGAGTTATGCCAGGTAAGTTGAGTTTGTGGTTTGGATTTTTATTTAAAAAGTACATTGGAGCTAAGGGTATGGTGGACCCCGCTTCCATGTGGTTGACCGTCACATGGTTCCTGCCCACTATGATGACATTCTCCCAACATCAGGGCTGGCACAGTGCAAGACCCTGGTGAAGCTGTTGTCGTGATCATGGGAAGGTGCCCCATGGCTAAGGTGTCTGAAGACAAGTAAGGGAATCCAGATCCTTCCACACTTGGATCTCTCCTATTTTAGTGTTGTTGCTTTTACGTTTATTTAAATTTGAAGAGAAACAGCGACCATTCAATGAGAAGCAACCTGTTTTTAAATAGGTTAGTCAGTTGGGGCATATTGGCTTCAGGTCCACCTAAAGTAGAAGGAGTTGAGCAATTTTCAGTTCTAAGCACTCTGCTACCTTTTTTATTTTCAGTCCTTTAATTTACAGTTTTTTAATAAATCATATGATATTTACATTCTGTCTGAAGTGAGTTAAGGGACAAAAGTCCTATGAATAGAAAATAGGTTTCCACGTTCCAGCTTGCGAGCATGGCCTCATCAGGCACCCTGTTGAGAATGAAATGAGGTGATGGGTTTTGAGATATGAGTGATTGAGTACTTTACAGTGTGAAAAGTGCGAAAAGGGGATAAGCTGTGACAGCTGGGGCAGGCCGTAAGGGTGAGGGATACTAAAAGGGCGGATAAGTATTGTTTTTTTTCAATGAAGCATGAAAGTGGAGAAGAAAAGTGTACAGAGAAACGAGAAAGGGAGAGGGAGAGAAAGAGAGAGAGAGAAAGAGAGAGAGAGAGAGGGAGAGAGAGAGAGGGAGAGAGAGAGAAAGAGAGAGAGAAAGAGAGCGAGGGGGAGAGAGAGAGAAAGAGAGAGAGAGAGTGGGGAGAGGCGTGGATGGTGCGGGATTACGGGGAGGACATATTTGAACTCGTTTTTATCGATTGCAGCGCGGCATAAAAAAGCACTGCTGCACGTGGGATCTTTAACCTGTTGAGGAGTGATTTTTGGAGCGCGCGCCTTGCCCTCGGGAGTGAGTTTTTTTCGGCGGCTTTTCTGAAATAGCATAGTTTGATGTTTCACAGGCAATATTCGGGATAAGACCCTTTGTTCATTTTAAAAACACATTCCGAAGTATGCTTTGAAAGGTTCCGTTGCAACATTTGCGTAATTTATTGGAAGTTGATCACATTAAAATATCAGGTTTAGTTTAACTTTTGAGTGATTCATTAAATGAATTTGATAGAGACAGTACTGATTATTGACTGATGATTGACTTATGTCAATTTTAATCTTCATTCTTTAATGACTGCTGAGGTAGACACACAAAACCTTACCATTCACCTTTTCCAATTACAATTTCCCAAAAATTCTGTCAAATGAAAACATATTGCCCAAGTTTTGAGTTTTCAAATGCAAGTAAAAGCGATGGCTACGGATCGTTTTCCGCCATACCCGCGAGGTATGTGGATCATCTTGAAATCCTTATCAAATTCGATCCAATCCAGATCCTTTATTGTTCGCATAGTCTCCTTCTGTACGAACAATGTATACCCAACATTGGGAAATCACATTTATTCCCTCCCTTGGATTGCTGCTATTGTCGTGTTTCCTTTCTTCTTGACGCCATGGCTAACAGCTCACTGATCAACTATACCCTGTGTAAATCTAATTTCATTTCTTCGCCGAAATTGAGGTCTAGTGCTACTCATTAAAGTTCCTTGACTTGCAGATAGATAGCAGAAACTGCCATGATCGTTTTAAACCGAACCGTAAATATACAGGCAGAAGCCAGTACCCGGTCAAATGACCTAACATGAAACTATTGGGATGAACTGACGATGCATGCGATCTCCATGTATTCGTCCCGGATTGGGCTATCGTAGATAACCGTCAATGTGAGGTGTGAACCATTTCTCGTTTAACCTCGCTTAGAAGTGTTAAGGAGCTTCATCTTGACGCAAACAAAATACCGGACTCAGAAAGCTTCATGCAGCTGGCCATGGCTGAACACTCAATTAGGTAGGAAAATCCCTCTTCGGTCGAAGGTTTCACCGTGCGCCTTGTCGATGGTCACGGCGAAAGCCAGCCGAATTGGGAGGGGCTGGCGGGCTTTAGAGAGAAGGTCAGGTTCGTGTCGGGAAGAGCCAGGTCAATCCACGATATGAGAACTCGTTTCCCCTTCGCACCTCCAATTATCACTTCGGCATTGATTAGGTTGCTCATTATGCGACGGACGATCATACGCGTTCCGTTGCATACTTCTTGTTATGCGTTATTTGAGGTTGCGAAGGAGCGTGATGACAGCACCAGATTTTTTTTCAACTCATGAGGTGGCATGCGAGATGGGGTCAGACTGTTGAGGAATAACTGGATAATAATTTTTCTCCTCGGGATCATCACATACGACAGAGTCGATAACGATGTAGATCTCGGATTCACCTGCTACTCGATTAGAACTTCCTCGTTCCATTCAGTGCCTCTTCATTCTTGGGACAAAGGAAGGTCTCGTTTTGTATTAAATCAAGGTGTGCAGGATCCATGTTTTTCCCGAAGACATTGTTCATGATGTCATTAACCGCGCATCGCTGATGTAGCGCAACAGCGTAATCAGAGATCTAATTCAAAATCGAGAGGCGGCCTTCCCCGACAGACAACAGACTTTCTGAAACTCCTACTGCTCCCGTTCCGCTCTCATGTTTATTGAAATTTTCAGGGTCATGAATAGTGGCCAAAGAGGCAAACAGCAAGGATGGCGTACTTACTGCCGTTGGGAACGATATGAATAACTTTTTTGAAATCCCCACCAAGAACCAGGAGTTTGCCGCTTAGAGATACTTAGCTATTTGTAATGTCGCGAAGCATTCCGTCGAGAGCGTTGCTTCATGAGTGAGCCGAAGGTTCTTCAGCCTTGGATTATTACTTTGAGTAGACAACCTTAATTTTCGTGTTCGCGCAGAAAGATTCCAGAAATTCAGCATCATTATCCGTGTTAATTATGCATTAATAATGACGTCGAAGTTCGAGGCTATGATGACTCATTAACTTTTTCATAGAAATAATGATATATGAAATTCGCATCGTGCAAGGGAGGACAGGTATTACGAGATTACGAGCCTCCTCCTGATCTCATGAAGCATTACTCTACCCAACATGAAAGTGTCTCTTATGCTCCAGCATTTTGTTTCTTTCCTCGCTGGGCTCATTCCCCCATGGAAGTGCGACTTGTGCAAATAAAGGAAGTAAGGAATTCGAAAGACAATACTCGGCTCACAAGAGTTCAGTGGAGGGCGAAGGGACCCTGCTGAAATTTTTGCTGATCTCCGCCTCGGTCTTGGCACACGAGCAGTCCACCGTGTTCGGGAAGACATGGGGGCTCCATCGGCAAGGCCATGTGCCTTCGGAAAGGCATTCTTCAGGTCTGTCCCACAGGCTGGGCACCACGTGCCCGGTCACCCAGAACACGAAGGAGACGAGATAGAGAAACGTGAATGATGAAATCATCACGGGATTCGGAGTCGAACGTTAGCTGGATGCAGACGGCGGTTAATAGGACCGTCTATATTTCAGGCGCTCTGTCAATATGAGAAATCGAGACAATTTTGGACAGATGAAAAATAAATCTACTTGGAAGAATGCAAGACAATTCATGTCGGAGCAGCCACATTTCTGTTAACTGATAAGCATTTAATAGGGCTATTTTCAAACGTTTCCAGGCGTATGTTTTTGCACTAAAAAAAAAATTACCATTTGTTTTAGATTATATATATATTTTTGTTTGTAACATGTAACAATTGATTAAAAACACAAAAATATAAAATAAACATATGATTTTAACAGTAGCACTAATTATAATCCTCGATTATGATCTGACATTCTTCTTTGTCAATAACAGCCTGACATCTCTTGCGAATGGAGTGAATCGGTCTCTTGCTGAGATCTTTGTCATCTTTGATGTTCTTTCATTCTTTGGTGATGGCTTTCTTCATTTGCTTGATACTGGTCAGGTCCTCCTCCAGCCTACCCTTTATGAATCCCAAAACATTCCCAATTGGTTATACATCAGCCATCTTTGAAACCTGTTTGTCATGGGGAATCCTGTTTCTGGAATCTGTGCGCGAACACGAAAATTAAGGTTGTCTACTCAAAGTAATAATCCAAGGCTGAAGAACCTTCGGCTCACTCATGAAGCAACGCTCTCGACGGAATGCTTCGCGACATTACAAATAGCTAAGTATCTCTAAGCGGCAAACTCCTGGTTCTTGGTGGGGATTTCAAAAAAGTTATTCATATCGTTCCCAACGGCAGTAAGTACGCCATCCTTGCTGTTTGCCTCTTTGGCCACTATTCATGACCCTGAAAATTTCAATAAACATGAGAGCGGAACGGGAGCAGTAGGAGTTTCAGAAAGTCTGTTGTCTGTCGGGGAAGGCCGCCTCTCGATTTTGAATTAGATCTCTGATTACGCTGTTGCGCTACATCAGCGATGCGCGGTTAATGACATCATGAACAATGTCTTCGGGAAAAACATGGATCCTGCACACCTTGATTTAATACAAAACGAGACCTTCCTTTGTCCCAAGAATGAAGAGGCACTGAATGGAACGAGGAAGTTCTAATCGAGTAGCAGGTGAATCCGAGATCTACATCGTTATCGACTCTGTCGTATGTGATGATCCCGAGGAGAAAAATTATTATCCAGTTATTCCTCAACAGTCTGACCCCATCTCGCATGCCACCTCATGAGTTGAAAAAAAATCTGGTGCTGTCATCACGCTCCTTCGCAACCTCAAATAACGCATAACAAGAAGTATGCAACGGAACGCGTATGATCGTCCGTCGCATAATGAGCAACCTAATCAATGCCGAAGTGATAATTGGAGGTGCGAAGGGGAAACGAGTTCTCATATCGTGGATTGACCTGGCTCTTCCCGACACGAACCTGACCTTCTCTCTAAAGCCCGCCAGCCCCTCCCAATTCGGCTGGCTTTCGCCGTGACCATCGACAAGGCGCACGGTGAAACCTTCGACCGAAGAGGGATTTTCCTACCTAATTGAGTGTTCAGCCATGGCCAGCTGCATGAAGCTTTCTGAGTCCGGTATTTTGTTTGCGTCAAGATGAAGCTCCTTAACACTTCTAAGCGAGGTTAAACGAGAAATGGTTCACACCTCACATTGACGGTTATCTACGATAGCCCAATCCGGGACGAATACATGGAGATCGCATGCATCGTCAGTTCATCCCAATAGTTTCATGTTAGGTCATTTGACCGGGTACTGGCTTCTGCCTGTATATTTACGGTTCGGTTTAAAACGATCATGGCAGTTTCTGCTATCTATCTGCAAGTCAAGGAACTTTAATGAGTAGCACTAGACCTCAATTTCGGCGAAGAAATGAAATTAGATTTACACAGGGTATAGTTGATCAGTGAGCTGTTAGCCATGGCGTCAAGAAGAAAGGAAACACGACAATAGCAGCAATCCANAAAAAAAAACAAAACAAATATATATAGCTTTAAGAGGGTTAGGCCTACCCTAAAATTAAGGAACGGTCGACCTCGACACGTGATATCGAAATGGGCGAAATCGCCTCTTGATATCACTAACTCTCTTGACTCTTGACTCTTGAAAGAAGCTCTCTGGCAGGATGCCCTTGCTTCCATCCACAGGACTGATGTTGCAATGACAGCTGTTTCCACAAAATTCAGAAACAGGGTTACCCATGGCAAACAGGCAACAAAGATGGCTGATGTGTGACCAATTGAGAATGTTTTGGGAGTTATAACGGGTAGGCTGGAGAAGGAGGACCTAACCAGTATCAAGCAAATGAAGACAGTCATCACCAAATAATGGAAAAAAAAATCTGATGACAAAGATCTCTGCAAGAATCTGATTCACTCTATACCCAAGATGTCAGGCTGTCATTGACAAAGAAGGATGCCAGATCACAAAAGAGGATTACAAATAAAGTGTTACTATTAAATCATATGTTTACTATATATTTTTGTGTTTGTAATCAATTTTTTCTTGTTACAAACAAAAATAAAGGAACATACAGTCTAAAACAAATTGTAACTTTTTTTAACACTAATATATGAGGTAATACTACAAACGAAACTTGGGAAGTCTCTGCGACATGCCACTCAAAAATGCAATCGCTCATAAAGAGTGTGGCATGAAGGGCGTTGACACAATCCTAGCCAGGCGTGGAAGACGCATCACATCCTAAGAACAAATGTCTGTCGGAAAAATACGATTTGCACTTATAGAAGGTACCAAGCAAGCGACATTCGGAATGATTCGTTTTTGGGCCGCAGAAAATATAGATGACCGTGAAGTTCGGGAAATAATGCAAGACAAAAAAACTAATGCACATCAGAGAAACTCGAGACAAAATTCCCTAGAAATGCCCGAGGCATGCATTCCTGTCATGCAACCCCGTTCCATGTCTTCTTCGCTTGGGAGTTAGGAGGAAATGAGAGAGTGAGGAAGCAATTTTCCTTCTACGCTCTTCAAATTGCGTCAACAGCCTTCCGATGTTAATTTTTTTCCTTAACAATAGTTCCAGGGGGAGTGTCATGAGAAAAGGTTGGTAGGTTCAGGAGGATTTTTAGCGATAGTCAAGTACTCGTATATTTATATTGATTTACTTTGTATGATGTTGGCTGCTGGATATTTCCGATATTTACGTTGATATTTCTCACAAAAGAGACCCAGGAAATCATTGGAAGAGGTTGGAATGATATAATAAATAACGTAATTTAATCATTTTAAGTCTCTCTTTTTTTTTTAACAATTCGACAAGTGGTCTTACACTTTTTCCAAATGTTCATCTTTTTGTGGGAAAGACTTTCGTTTTCAACGATGTTACTTCCATAACATCATTGATGACTGCTAAATAGATTGAGTCAGTATCTTCTATATACAAGGTGATCCAAAAGTCACCAACATTTCCATTACGTGCCGTATCTCGATCAATCGAATTGTCTGCTCCTCATAAGCAGTTTGGTATAATATTACCGTGGGGGGAAAGATACTTCGGAAGGAATGACCGAAAAGAGTCATAATTAGCTTAACACTTCTTGACTCATGGGTCACCCCACACCAAATCGACCAGAGGATGAGCTCAACCATCTTTGATTTTGACAATAATCGGTATGCGTGTAGAGGAATTGATTATAAGAAAGTAAATTGCAGAGATTTTTTTAAATGTCTCTCCGATCTCGAGATATATGCATTTGAGTGCCACCTATTTTTGGCTCCTGGCGGCAATACACTCTTAGGAAATTCCAAGAATTTGTAAAAGGCTCTGGTATAATTATGAAAAAATGTAGTTTTGGAAAATGCTACCATTGAACCAGCTAAAGAGTCCCAAAATGAAATCTTAAATAACCTCATGAAAATTAGCAGCAAGTTTAATGTCGCTGTAGATGAGAGAGACATGAAGTTTCCCTTTTTGTTTTAAAATCCTAAATTTCATAAGACTCCTATCAAATTACGATTCATAGCGAATTCTGTAGGCACTTGTCTTAAGGGTTCCTCTCTTCTTTTAAACGGCATTCTTGACAAACTGTGAGAAAATTCGACTGCGATGCAAGAATTGCCACTGTTACTGGATCATAAACAGCAATGGTAAGGCGCTACAAGCCATCAAGGCACTGAATGAATCCAGGAAAGCAAATTCTGTAATGCCATGGGACTTTTCAACTTTATACACTAAAATACCATTAGATATTCTACATCATAATATTCTTCAGCTTTTCCAGGACTATGCGGAGTCAGGTTTCACATATAAATATACTTTCATTAGTGACGATTTATTCTCTACCATTCTGAGGAATTGCTGGGACAATAATGACATCAATTACAATTGTTTCATCACAGATATATATGATAAAAGAAGGGATTTTAACTTCGAATTCATTAGTATGCCCAACGCCAGAAGTAATATTCCTAACCATATTATCAAAAAGTTATAATTTCCACACTAAAAAAAAATTGTCTAACCTGCTCTGACATAGAAGGATTTAACTTTAATAATTTAACTCCTACAACAAAGGCTGAGGAATAATAGATTCCCAAGAGACCTCTTGAGAAAACACTTTAAACTTTTTTCTCAGCAATTCAAGCAAGATCTTCGCAAGTTTCCATCTGAAGCGTCTGATACTGCATTTTCGTGGTTCCATTCGTTTGGGTTTTTTTTTATAACTTTGCTGTATATAGAGCTCGGATGTACGGCTGTTGCAACACAGAGTGACTGCAATACGATCCCGGTGATGATGACAGTTTACCAGTGCATGGGCTTCTCTCCCATAACTTTTCTTAATTCATCCTAGGCTTTAGCTTATCCAGTTAGTCGGGGTTGGGTCAGGAGTTATTGACCTAATGTGTCAGGGCCAAGGCCTAAAGGTAGCAGAGGCAACCTGGGCATCGCTTCAGTCTGTCAGTGTAGGACACAGTCAACTGAAAGTATGGTAGGGCCTTTTCCCTGGGCTACGCTTTTT